AAATATCCGGACGTTGTGAGCTACGATTTGAACCGTACACACAAGAATAACTTCTGGCCACTCCTAGGTGAATGACAGTAAAAAGTTCTTCCCACTTACGTGGACTTCATCCTCCTCATTTCATTATTTCAATTAAATTCATTTCATTTCATTTTATTCCATTTCATTTCATTTTATTTTATTTCATTCTGTATCTTTTTATTTCTTTTCATTTCATTTCATTTCATATCATTTCATATCATTTGATTACATTTCATTTCATTTGATTTCAGTTCATTTCATTTCATTTCATTTCATTTTATTTTATTTCATTTCATTTCATTTCATTTCATTTCATTTTATTTTATTTTATTTTATTTTATTTTATTTTATTTTACTTTATTTTATTTTATTTTATTTTATTTTATTTTACTTTATTTTATTTTATTTTATTTTATTTTATTTTACTTTATTTTATTTTATTTTATTTTATTTTATTTTACTTTATTTTATTTTATTTTATTTTATTTTATTTTACTTTATTTTATTTTATTTTATTTTATTTTATTTTACTTTATTTTATTTTATTTTATTTTATTTTATTTTACTTTATTTTATTTTATTTTATTTTATTTTATTTTATTTTAATCTATTTTATTGGAAGTTTTAATTTATATATGTTTCTTAATAAGCAAAAATTATGCCCAATATAGTCCAATTTGTTGCCTTGTGCACGCACAGCTGTTTCTGATGGGATAACCAAAATCAGCTGGTCAGACTGCAAGTAGGCTAATTCACGTGGGGGTCATCAATTTTGATTATAGCATTGCTCAATAAACAATTGAAAGCTTTTATTAGCATAAATAATAGCACCGAAAATGAATAAAAGGCTACTTAAAAATGTTCTAGTATGCGCAACCGCCGCCACTTGCGCCTACTTTACCGGTAAATACGTTGAACGTCAACAAGTGCCAGAAACAGAGTGGGAAATAAAAACGCCAGCGTTAGTCCAGCAGGTACATAAGTGGCTTCATTTAACGTTGAATTAATGGGATAAATTTCCGTGTAGCCTTAATATCTTCTCTAATATCCGCTTTCGCAGTTGGAGCGCCGCCCCGCATTGCCAATTTTTGGCACAGTGTCGGCCGCAGTACCAGTGCCAGCAGAAGAAGTGAATCTCAATGCCACACCAACGCGCATTTCACAAATCATGAAATATGGTTTCCCTGGGCTGGATCATGTTCGTTCTTATTCAGATTTTGTGCTATCCTACGATCGCCGTAACCGCGTACCACATTGGGTATTTGAACATCTCACGCCTGAGTCAGTGGCCAGAAACGATGCTGTCGATCGCTCAAAGTGTGAATTCCGCGCGGATGACAGCATACATCCCT